CTGTTTTCTCTCTTCTACGTCAGTCAATCCTCTTTGAAGTTGCAACAATGAAGGAAATATCACACCTGCTTTGAAATAGTTAAAATGGGATTGCTAAAAAGTAAAGAGTTCCATATCTTTTTTTTTTCCCATAAATAAAAAATAACCGAAACTGGATCAAGTACACTAAATTACAAACAATTGTTTTCAAGAATGTTATAGAAGAATCCAAATTTCCTTCAATTTTACTTACTGTAGAACTCCTTTAGACTAGCCTTTCTTTCATGAATAGACATGGTGGTCTTCCCATCCTCGTACGCCTGTGACAAAAAAACGACACCATCACACCCACGACAAGAAGCAACACTTTCTTCAGTTTTCATAGGAATTGAACAAACTGCAATTCACCTTGTATATAAAAATTCTAAGCAATCCCAAGGCTCCAGCAAGGTGACAATCGGTCCACTGAATAAGAAACAGAAAGAATTGAGCAGCTGGACTGTAGGATAACCTCATTTGGAGGCAGCCACCATCATATTCCCTTCGATAATTAGAAGCCCTGTATCACAAGATATACCTCATAAGTCAAAAACCCTGTTATATCTACAGACAGGAGAAATATTAAATTGCAATGGATAAAACCTTCAAGATGCAACTCTCCTCTCCTCTTCAGAAAAGTCCAAAGGAAATGATGCATGAAAACAGAATTTAGGAATCTAACATATTAAAATATGCAATGGGCCAACAAAAGTTCCCAGATTGGCTGGGATGATAATTGATCAGGATATTATCCTACATCAAAATTAACTGCAGATTCTGACGTTCAACCAAAATAAATTACCCAACTTGACAGACACAAAAGGGAAAAACCTTAGCCAGTGGTAAACACTAAATATTGGCAGCCGACAATTACCACACACAAATTCGAGAGAAAACTCAAAGAAGAAGCTCAAATTCCTACAAGGGTAAGGGTTCAAATACTCTATTCTATAATAGAAACCTTTCAGCACCCATTGGGCCATTGAGAAACCACAAAAAAAAAAAAACAGTTTGATTATGATATACGGAGCTTTGGAAACCCAATTTCTATACATATACTCTGAAGTTATAAATCAAAGTAATTGTGAAATTCTGGCTTGGAGCAGAATCTCTTATATTTACCAGGAAACGAAAATCCATATCTATGAACCAAATCAGATAATTGACAATTTGACACACATAAACAAAGAGATATAATATCAGAAGTGGATGAGGATACAGAAGAAGAAACAGAGTCATACAGAGTATTGGCAAACTGAATATCAGCTTCAAGTGCCTTAAGAGAATCCTTGAAAGACTTTCGCATTGTTTCTAGGCTCCTTCCGCTTTTTTTCATTAAAAAAACTCTCCCATAAAAAAACCCTAAACATCCATCACTCCATCACCTCAACCCCCAACGCTAAATTCATCCATGACCCAACCAGCACTCTGCCCCTTCTCTCTCTAAAAAAAACTGAAGACAAATCTGATAACAATTATGAACTGGGTTTTGGGCAGTAACTTCTTAGCGTTAGCTTGAGAGAATCTAGCACTGCGAGAAGGTTTTAGAGAGAGAGAAGGGTTGGGCTTACTTGGTTTTCGCTTAGAGCACACGTAACAGTCTAAAATCTCTCTCACAGTTCTTTATAAATTTTTTTTTTTTTTTGGTTGAAAGTTCTTTATAAATTAATCCGACGAAGAAGAGGAAAAGTGAAAGATTATTTATTTATTAAATGACCAATTTACCCTTCTTCCCTCGCCTCGGGATTTCTGTGGACATGACCGCTTCCCGATATTTTTTTTTCCATCATCACCCGCAACTCGTCTTAAGCTGACCGACACACCGGTTAAGAGGATACGACGTCGTTTTGCCGGCGGGTCAGAGGAGCTGCGTGCATCTCTAGGTGAGGACCATATGAGAGCTAAATCCGACCGAAGGTGACGGCAGCGGTTCTGGTGACACGTGGATTGCATGCATCACGATCTGGCTCAACCGTTTGGTTGTGGGTCCCTCCGACTTGGTGGTTGTTTTATTTCTAGTGCGACGTGTCGTCATTGGTAAAAGGATGGACCCCACCTCATCCCCGCCGTACACTTTAGCTTTATTAGTGTCGTGATTGGTATAAGGACTAGTGTCCTTGTAAACTAATTAAGGGATTTAAGAAAAGAAATTTGGTAGAAAATATTGCTATAAATATAAATAATACATTTATTTGGTAAATTTCATGGTGGTGCCTCTCAATTATCGTCAAATTTAATAATCCATCCATAATCCTGCGTTTCTATTGGTTGAGAATTAATTAGAGTCCACCAACTTGGCTTAATAAATTTATTTAGTACAAAACAAATAAATTAATCACAAAAGTAAGGCATTTTGTCCTTGTGCAGATGCTGCGGGGTGCGGAGTTGCCAAGGTCGAATTTTCCACTGATAGGTTATTATCTAATTCGTTATTAAAAATATAAATAAAATAAATAATTGGCAAATGGTATGACATACTTTATTTATAAATTATACACACAATTCCTTGTCGAAAGATAAGTGCATGTCCAATTACACTTTCGAGCCAATTGGATTGGGTGGGAAATAATGCTCTCTAATTGGTCGTGGTTATCAACTTATCAATGAGTAAGTAACTTGTATAAAATGATTAGGCCAAACGTTTGAATATGGCAATAAGATATCAAGTTGCATTCTTAGTAGTATATATTCGTGCCTAAGTTGATTTTTAACCCAACATACCAATCAAAATCAAATTATACTATTATCAGTGGCCGAATTATTAAGCGCAAGGATGTGCATCTGCACTTTTCCTCATCGGAAAAATCATTATATGTGCTGCATATTACACATCTGCTCAGCCTAAGAGGTGCGCACTTGTATTTTTTTATATATATAAATATTGGCCAAAATTACACCTCAGCTAACAAATTCATGAGTCTGCCGGTGACTATTATTGTAGTAAATAGTTTTACTATAACAATAACATCACAACATATTATCAACGCCGCAATATTGTTTATTTTTTCGATAGCAAATAATCATAGATAATCTTGATGTGACACAAATAAAGAATGAATATTTTATCGATACATTAGAGAATGTCTATCTGCTACAATTATATATACTGTTGATGTTGTCGCTTTGCTACAGTAATAGTGCTACTCCACCCATCAGAATAAATTTGATAATACCTCATTACCTCTCAAAGGGCTACCGATTAGAATTTCCACAACCAAGTATGACTAGCAGCTTAGATTAACCATCGAATTGAATTGACTACACAAACAAATGTAAAGGCAACACTGAATTTAATGATTGGTTGGATTGATGATAATGACAAGCTGCCAACCTATTTTCCAGAGATTAACATTCAAAGAGAGCAATCGTCGAGTGAGAAGCTACCCTTTGCTTGTGGGATCATCAAATTAACTTAGCTGCAAGCAAGGGAAAGCTCCTTTTTAAATTGAACATCAAACCACAAATTTCAAATTAAATGAGTTGTATACAAAGCAAGTGGTGTATGGACTATGGATTCATGAACCCTAGCTATTACCAACAACATTGGGATCTATTAATTCCGAGGCCCAACACTTTTTGTTGTTGTTAATAACATAGTAATTAAAAACCATAAAGCAAATAATAATTTCTTGCTGTTTGTTAAGCAAGAAAATTAATCCAGAGCTAGATTGTGTTGTGGGAAACAAGGCAGCAAATTTTGAATTAATACAAGTGAAACCTTGGCGTGCAAGACGCTTATGGCCAAGATTAAGATCAATTGGAGCTCCTAAAATATCTTGTGTGTGTTTGATTTTGTTGGCTTTCTCATTTCTTGTAGCTCAAGCTAAATTAATTAGGTTTCTATCCTATCCATGATTAAAAGCCTTCTTGTATTGGGTTTTGATTTTGCAAAAACGTAAACCCTAATGATATGAAACTCTATGTTGTTCCCCTTTGCAAATTTAAAAATAAAATAAAATCATAGATAAAAAGAAAAAAGAAAAAGAAAAAAAAAAGAAATCGCTGCTTCTTGTTGCCCACACTATGGCTTTGGAATTTTCGTGCTCAACAAACAACAGTAGACCGGACTGTACTCCAAATTAAGCTTGGGGAGAAAGCGAACAAGCCATTATTTATATCACAACCCATCCCCATCCTTTTCCCACACTCTCATACACTATACCCATCTCTCTCTCTCTCTATCTCTCTCTCTCTCTCTACAATGAGCAGCGTCAACAGCTGGTGCGGCAAGGGACGGATGGTTTTGACAATTTTTCGGGACACTGCTTTGACTTTAGCTTCTGCCTTGTATGTGAAGTAAGTATTCCTCTCGTCCCTCTATCTCTCTCTCTCTCTCTCTCTCTCACATTGTTCTTTCATCTCATGCACAGGGAGACAATAATGGAAAAGTTTGGCAACAATGGAGGTTCTGGCTCGTCTGTTAGCAAGCGGTTTTTTGGAAAACGAACAGAGGCTAGCGGTAGTTAGATGGCTAAAGAGTTGGTGTATGCAGCAAAGTGCAAATTATTATCAGTAGTGCAGACTTTAACTTGAATCAGATGTAATTTCTTTGCTTTTTAGATTCCCGGCCGAGTTGAGCAGTAAACAGTTTTTTTTTTTTTTTCCGTAGCAATACAAGGAAGAAAAGCCATTGACATGAAAGCAATCAATCACTGGCTATTGGCCGCTATGTTAGGCTTATGAAAATGGGCAATTTTATATTTTCCAAAAGCTTTAAAGAAGACAAAACTTACTAATCTATGATTCTATATACGCACAACTTTCGCTGCATCTGAAACTCAACTAGAAATCTAGACTCAACCCTCCTCCTCCACCATGCAATGCCAATTATGGCGGCCAACAGATTCCAGTCAAAATATGAACTTGACGGCTCAGCTTTTTTCTCTAGGTAAAATTTGCCTCACGGAAGAACCAGATCCCCTAAATGAATCCATATGTCATCTTGGTGTTTGGTTTTGTCTTCTGTAAACCAGCATGGCTGCACTTTGCAGATCAACATTTCCCCGTCGTATTCATACTAACAACAAATAAATTACAAAACCCATATTTGAAAACTCAAATGGGGCTCAATTCATCAAGGGAGATTTCCCTGGGGACTTTCAAATTAATTTGACTTGTATCCCATCCACTTCCATTTAACTGCTGGATGAAGTCTTCAAATCTATCTTCCATCTCCAGCAGGCTTTTTGTAAGCTGGTCAAATGCATTACCTAACCTATTCCAGTTCTCATATAGCCAATAAGCCTGCCAAACACTTCGTAAAACTGAGATACTCGTAGCTCCAACCTGCATCATTATTGTTATCATCAAGGTTGATTAAACCTCTATAAATCCTTAACAGCAATTTAAATGCATACCTTGAATGAAACAAAGACCTCAAAGTTGCTTATTTGTTGGTTCACTACAAGAATATATTTCTCCTTTGTGTATAACTCCAGAAGTGCCTTCAACTGTTATTAAAAGATAAAAGAAAAGGAAAACAATGAAGGACTCTCTAACAAACTACTGACAAACCCGCATGCCCAGATTTGATGTTTATAAGGATATACTTTAGATGCTTTCACTCCTTTGTGCAACGAAAGAAGGGATAGATTACCATGGGAGCAGTTCTCTCTCCAAAAATCATCTCCTCCAAGGGAACACCAAATGTAATTCGTGGTGTCATGAATCTTGGCCACAATAATATGTTTTCTTCCCTATTGCAATCAACAGAACCTAAATTAAACAACCAGAAAGAATGGTCATTGTTTATGATGATAGAACAGCTTTATAAGCAAGGGAGCAGAAAGGTTCCTTACCAAGTACAATAGAGTGTAATACATGAGATTTTACCAGAATACGAGCACGCTTAAGATTTAACTGCAAGGAAAACAGAAAGAACAGATCATAAATGAACTAAACCTTAAATCACATTTTCCACTTTATCCTGATTGCTTTTCCCCTCATGATCCAGTCCATGCATGGGCATAAAACAATTAAAATGTAGAATATCCAAATTCAATCCCATTTACCCCCCTACCAAGAAAATCTTATTCCTTGTTTGTGTGTGTGTGTGTGTGAGAGAGAGAGAGAGAGAGAGAGACTTACAGAGTTAAATTGGAGAACTGAAAGTGATTGATAGCGTAACCAAAGGTGCAGAAGCCGCATGACCATCCATGTTGTTGCCAATACTGGGTATGCTCTTACAAGGCCTGGTGTATCCTGCATTCACGATTCTAAATCATTTAAATACAACAAACGAAGAAGTTAGCGACTGGGAAGTCACAGTACTCTTTAGAGAATAAAGTAAGACCATCTTAAGAAACAAAATAATATACTAGGAACAGTATGCCCAAACCCAGGCCAAGCAGCTGAGCAGCCACTTCCCAAACTTCCTCCTGAAACATTTGACCAATTAATTATGAGAAGAGCATTCTTATATATGTGATACATGAAGGGGATAAAACACAAAATATGTTATCAACTAAATTTTGTTAAGTTTGATTGCAGAAGTTACTCTTAAACCCGACCTTTGCTGCTATCTCCCCCAGATTTCCCTCAACTGCAAAATGATTTTGAATCACACGGTTTGAAGGATCTTTTAGCCCTCTCGCAACAGCCTGTTTAGATGCCCACATCACATCATGTAAATAAGGAAATGGAATACTCAATCAACAGCTATATCAGCTATGGTGCAGATATGCAAGAAAATCGCTAGAAGGAACAATTCAGAAACCAAACTTATTTTTCATAAAAGAAGCTAATGCTGCAGTTGTGGTCATATAATCAATCAGCTGTAGCCTACATAGCACAGCAGTGCAATACCTTGGCAAGATTTCCAAGAGATGCCAATGGCAGGAAATAGGCAGGATACAATGGTGTAGTAAGGTCGAAAATGCTGCATAAAAACATTACTTTTTATGATCCAATAATTTTTTTTCAATTCACTTGTGCAATATCCAACAGAGAGTTTGTTAGATGAACCTTCCAGCACTGCCAATAAAGTCAGCATATAAGCGCCACTGCTTTGGATCATCATCAAAAAGATTGCCAAATCGCCCACCTGAGAAAGAGACATAGTCACTGTTGAAATTCATCACATAACCTAGTATTCCATTTAGCTCTCTTTATGATTGGCATACCGATAAATAAGCGTCCAACAGCTCCAATTCCATCTTTTGAAACCCATCTGCAGAAACAATCTCATAACCTACAGTTCAGTCCAACAAAAGGAATTGATATACAAATGTTGCTCTACAGATAAAAATATTGTCTTACAAAACCAAGTCCATAATAAAAAACAAATGATGTCCCTTGGTTACGAGTCTCAGCATAAGGTGGGGAATGAATTAGGCCGAGGTCTTAGATTCAAATTCTAGCAGTTGAAAACATAAATGGAACTTGCACATATGATTCCACACAAAAAAAACATATAGAAAATAAATATATCCACCTGATGGCAGCTGCTGAAGCAGCAGCAGTGCTGCCTGAGAAAGAGCCAACACCGACAGCCTGCAAATAGTGCATGATTAAAAAGTAAAAATGCATTTTCCAAAAGGCAAATGATGGCCTGAGTCCTTGACTAACCTACCTTTAGAAGACTTGATGTGACTAAGGTATGGCATATCCATGCAGTTACATTGGTAGGGAACTGTAACAACATGTACGACAAATAATCATCAGAAACTGATCCTGCAAGAAAAGTGAAAATAATAAAAGGTTAGAAATCTCGTACTGGCACTGCTAATCATATTTTGGTCTCTGGACACTTAGCCACTACTACATATGAACTTCAAGGATTCCGACTATCTTTACTTTGAATCCACTATTCAAAAGTCTAAGTTCAACCAACACATGTTATTTATGTACGTATGAATGAAAAAAACCAGTGGAGAGGGAAACACTGATTATATTAGTCACCTGGGAAACCTGCAGGAAAGATAAAATCTTTGACAATATCCGGAAGCCATGATAATGTCGAGTTGGAGAAATGTGAGCTCTCAGATTTATTAGATACTAAACTACGCTCCTCCTCGATAAAAGTTTGCACTTTCAATTCATCATCTACCACATACCTGCTTGTGGAACCACTCATCAAGAGAAACAGCTCACAACTTAGACATTTGGGGTTTAGAATTTTGAAGTAAAGTTGCAATCCTTTAGTTGCATGAGAGCAATGTTATTGAGAAAGGACCTCTTAGCAGTGCCATTTCCATATCTCTCCACTAAGATCACGTGCGGTCGGCCTCGATTTCTGTTACAAATTAAGCAAATTCAGAATCGAACTTTTTTTCTTTCTTTTCCGGCATAGTTTTTCTCTGGAGCCAAACAGAGAGGTAAAGAAGGAGAAGCTGTTGTTACCTGCCGTGATCAGCTTGGTTTTCATCGTCATCTCCCTTTTGAAGGTTGGATTCAGAGGAGGAGGAGGAGCACGCGATTCGGAAGTGGCAATGTCTGAAATTCAGAGGCTTTCTAGAAGACTCGAAAGCACAAGTAGGAAGCGAGAGTTGTACAGCGCCACAGGGCATTGCGAGAAGACGTTAAAGGGAGTTTAGGGTTTTAGGGTTACAGAAGTTAAGAGCCAGTCTTCTTCTTCTCCAGGTTCTTTTCACACTCCACTGCCGCAAAACGGATTTAACGGCCAACGGTCGTCTATCTTCATTTCCTTCTTCTGTTGGTCGATCCTCTACCACCCAAATGTACGGACATTGCAACTCATGGGAAAACGGAGTTTGTTCGTACTTACCCGCCTTTCAAAACGACGTCGTCTTGCGCCATTTCAAACGGACCTGAAACAAAGCCCTCGCCTCGCAATTAGGCCCAACGGAGTTTTTTGCTTTCTTAATTGATGCCAGCCCAACCCATCAACTGGTCCGTAGAATTTAACGTTACTGACGCCAAATTTAAAAAAAAAAAAGCTTGCACGACCGCAATTTACTGCAGTTTATATATTAGAACTGCTTCCATTACCCAATATGATTCCGTTACAATAAAAAAAGGCCTGGTTCTATGAATGACAACAAATTCCAAGTGTTTCTACATATACAGGTGGCTTTGGCAAAAACATAATCTGGAACCGACTGCATAGCGTGGCAGAACATGAATTCCTCAAAAAATAGGCAACCTACCTAAGCTAGTAATTGTTCTACAACATCACAACCTACCAAAAAGGACAAGGATTCACTCGGCAGCTCAGTCCTCACTAATATGAAGGCAATTTGACCAATGCAAGTCCTACAAATAACGGCCATCGTCAGTGAACACAATGTCAAAAAGAAAATTTGGTGAAGGTCTGTCTAGTACTGGTGTAGTCTGCTGGACTGGTGGCACTAAATGCTACTTTGTTTAACCAACGACCTTTTGCTGTTGTTTATTGCGATTTTCCTCCACAATTCTCTGAAACTCTTTCTGACTGGTTGCAATTAGACGTTTGACCATGTCGTAAGTAGTAAGCCTAATGCTGCATTTGAAAAAGGGAGATTTCGTAAGGTAACTGAGTTTCAGAGGTTTAAAATGTCCCTGGAAACCTTAACCACTCATAAAATAAATGCCCCTATAAAATTCCCAAGCATGGAACACCAACCAAAATTGAGGTTAGAAAAGACATCATTCAGCATGAGAACAGATAATATAAATTTTAACATGATATAATAGTAGAAAACAAAGGCAGGGAGGGGTGTGCATGGAACCTGCTGTTCGGTAGAGTTTTCAAAGCATTAGGCAAAAATCCCCTATACAATCCTATAAGTCCATCACGGGCCACAACACCTGCACAAGCAACATCAACTTAAATAAATGACTTTGACTATTAACCCAAAAGTGCAACTTCATTACAAACACAAATAAAAGCTATGAACAAAATAATGAGAAACTTTCTGGTGATTGAGGTAAACCTATTCTCAAGAAAATTAAACCATATCATGCACACACCAGAAGCTGGTAGACAAGTACTTCAGTAGGTACTATGTAGCAACATTTGAATCCTACTTGATACTAAGCCACCAACATTCTCAGAATCAATACTCCAATCCATGTACTTGGCATAAATACAAAGTTTTTATCTTTAACCACCATTGTAAAGCATAACTGAGGAAGAGATTTTTTTCTTTAAAGTGCATTTTTCCCATATCACATTTAACCAAATCAAGAATGCGGGAGAGTTGAGCTTCTGGTCCCCAAGTATGTTTCCCAATTATTCATATAGTGAGAAAAGTTTAAGACACCTACAATTGTTATACTTAACTCACGTTCTAATTCTATATGACTCCTCTACATTAAGACTTAATGTCTAGTGCTTGACACAATGTCTGGTCACTTTTATGTCAATTCCTGATGGTAAAAGTAATTAACACCACGGTTTTACCTGGAATGGCATCCAAAACCGTCTTGTAAGGTGTGCCCTTCATTTGCATCTGTCTTCTCACAGTATCCAAAGGATAGCATGTGAGTGTGGCTAGGGAAGCTGACACCAAGCCTGTTAACAGAGATGCTTCAGTTTTCTTTTGAAATTCCTCTGGTAAAGACTTCTTCACCCTATCATCCAAACACGAATATGAGTAAAATAGGATACATTATTTGTATTCTCCTCTAGTGTAACATGGAAAGAGGTGGGAGTGGACTCACAAGTCAAAAATGCAAAAGTTCACAGCAATATATGGAGCTATTCCAATAAGAGAAGGTCCAAGACCATAGTAGAAGGATGCAACTCCTTCCTCTCTTAGCATGTTTAAGGCAATCTGGAAAAAAATCATTAAAAAATTCATCTTCACGAAGATAGGGGCATCCTATCATAAATAACATGATCAGGTAGGTCATACCTCAGACATAGTTCGGTACCCTGGTTCAACTGCTAAGCGTAACCTCAGGACATCCAACGGGTATGTTACCTACATGGAGGAAAATAGTATATCTTTGAATAGTTCCACATAACAGGTAGAATGAAAATAAGTTAGATGAACGACAAGAGGGCAAAAATATAAAAAACTATCCACGAAGTAGACTTCATAAGTAAAATATGAGGGTTCACGTGTTCCTAGGAACACTACCCCGACAAACCATTTTAAGCTAAAGAGGAAAACACTCATGAACCAAAAATGTCACAACACAAATGCATTACTCACAAAAGTGGATGTCATGCCAGCACAAGCACCTGCTGCAAGTCTTCCAACAAGAGAGAGCTCACCATCTTTCCCCCTAAAAAGTTTCTTCAAATTCAAGAAAAAAGAGCTTTAGTTCTGGATACATGGAATGCTGCAGAAAAATTTTCTTCAAAAGGGTTTCAAAATTACCTTATAAGCTTCATATGCAAAAAGCTGGACAGCACTATAAGGGATAATCCTTATGACCTAAACAATTAAAAGAATTTTCAAAATTAATGCAACACAAGAAACGCCCTGCTTTATAGCAGGGGCAAGTAATATTCTGTAACACAATAGGAAACTTCATCAGCAGAAAACCTGAGGAAGGTTGCCTTTCCAGTACCCTTTAATCCCTTCTTCCTTCCCTATCATTGTTATGGCCTGCAGGGTATGCATCATCATTAAACATGCAGAGGTGGTCATATAGCATGATGTCAAATGCTATAAGAAAATTGAACATAATTTTTTTTAAACCATAAATTATGCATCTCTGTGAAAAGATCGTAAATCTCCATAAGTTATCATGTATGTAAGCCATAAAACCATTATTGGAAAAACTAACGAGCAGTGATAAAGCTGAATAGATTTATTTTTCAATCAAATTTTGTCAACAGTTCAAGGCTACAACCTCTGTTTCACAGCCCATATGATTGTAAGACAAATGCATATAATTTATGATGTCAAAAACTGGGCAAAGCAGAGGATGGGTGAACCATTACATACCTCGAGAAAACTGATAACTTTCTTAGCGCTTTGTTGCCCAACTCGAATCCCATGAGTCTGCAAATATATCAACCTTTCTTTAGACTACTGAACAGTTACAACTTACAATTGAGCTAGTATTTAATTTAGTGGGAAAACAATAATGCAGAATACTATTGGCCAGACAACAAGTATGAATATGTCTTGACAAAGAGCTCAAAAATATACCATAGAAGGACTGGAAAAGCACAGTGTAATAAACCCAGTAAGCCTAATAACAAAAACTGGATTTTTTTTCTTCTCCAGAATCAGAAACAATTGCCTTTCTTGTAGCAAAAGAAAACGCCCAGAAATAATTTTTAAAATTTCAGGAGTAATGCTGGTCAAAAAATAGAAAGCTACCTAAAATTCTCATTTCTGTGTTATTTTCTCAACCAGCATAATGGAAAGCCAAGATTTATCAACGGAAATAAAAACACTGAATTTCGTAATATAAATGCCTTATCGGTTTCCTGAAAGTAAATTTTGAACATTCACTTTGTGTTTTCATAGTAATTAACCAAAAATAAAGGGAAGCACAATGTTCTACAGATACGTCGCCGTATGCAACCATTTCGAGCTATAAAATTGCGAGAAATGTGACAAAATTCAAAGGTATAGAATATAGAGGGAGTTAACGAGCACCTGCATAAGAATCTTGATGCGGTCGAGCGGAGCCGTGACTGTCTTGGCGGCGGCTCCAGCGATGGCTCCGGCGGCGAAGAGCGCGGCGTCTTTGGGAACGCAAGCGAGTATGGCCAGCGGATGCTTCACCAGCTGAGCCGAGGTCGGCGCGAATTCATTTCTCCGCTCTACCCTCTCTACCACCGAAACGCAGGCGAAATTACAACGAATGCCACTCCCACCACCACCACCAGTGAAGCTGAGCTGCGTGGTCTTCCATAACGGCTCGAGCTCCGCAGCCGCAGTGAGGGCGCAGTGAGAGGCGTTTAGGCTCGGGATGCTCCTCCAGGAGATAATGGGCTTGGATTCCCTGGTCATGGATTGGGGGAATTTTGAACGTTGAGAGCGGAGGTGAAGAGATAAGGCAGCGAGGGAGGTAGCTGTGTTGTTGCAGAGAGAGAGATAGAGAGCAGAGGACACGGGAAGCAACTTTGTTCAGGCAGGCGGGTACATCTCATTTGCTAATTTAGTACGAAGTGCGCGTGATTCACCATCCATATTTCTCTAAAGGGCTTGGGCCCCACTTTTTTTAATGGGAGCGTCACTAATATATTCAAAAGAGGAGCTGAAATTATAAAAAAAAACTTCACATGGAATGCACTTTAAAAATATACCCAAAATTCATTTATTATATAAAAAATTAGTGTTAAAGTTCTTATAAATTACATGACTGTCACTGATGCCCAACAGAAAAGAAAAAAAAACTAAAAAAAAACCCAAAACAGGCCTATCCCAATTTTATAAAAAAGCCCAAACATTTTTTTTTGTTACAAAAAGTCCAAACATTTTATTACAACACAAAACTGTCTCGAAAACCGTAACTTCAAGCACTCATCTTCATTAAACCATCTCTGCAAAACGTCTCTTCATTTCACCGTCTTCATCATTTATGCAAACTGAAACTCCATAACTACCATCAAGCTCGATCTACTTTCATAAACCAACACCACACACTAACCTCCACCTACAAAACAAAGACAAAATTTCAAGAACAATTTCAACAAGAAAAGGCTTCAAAGGTAAGACATTTAAAAACCAAACCTTTATTGTAATGTTGATTAATTGTTGTAAAGTTCTAGTTTATAGTAATAACAATATTTTAGATTCGAATCCAAGACAAAATCTTGAAACTATATTGGATTTTCACTATTGGACTAACTGCATATGACTATAAAATAGTCGGTTTTTAGCAACTATAAAAAAAAAAAGAAAAAAGAAAAGATATTTAGTCAAATACAGATTCTTAACACTGCTAGTTTATTGTCATGTTGATTAATGGCTGTAAAGTTCCAGTATAAGGTAATAGCACTGCTGGTTTCCTATGGAATCATATTTCTAATGCATGTCGACCACTGTAAAGTTTCAATCTAAGGTAATAACACTCCTAATTTCCTATGAAATCCTATTTTTAATGCATATCTACCACTGTAAAGTTTCAGTATAAGGTAATAACAGTATTTTAGATTTCAATATAGGACAAAATCTTGAAACTATATTGTATTTTCATTATTGAACTGATTGCATAGGACTATAAAATGGTCGGCTTTCAGCAACTCAAAAAAGAAAGAGATATTTAGTCATATACTCATTCTTAACACTGCTAGTCTACTTTCATGTTGATTAATGACTGTAAAGTTTCAGTATAGGGTAATAACACTGATTGTTTCCTCTGAAATCCTATTTTAAATGCATGTCTACCACCGTAAAGTTCCAGTATAGGGTAATAACATTACTTGTTTCCAATGAAATCCTATTTTGAATGCATGTCTACCACTATAAAGTTCTATTACAGGGTAATAACACTACTTGTTTCCTATGAAATCCTATTTCTAATGTATTTCTACCATTGTAAAATTCCAGTATATGGTAATAACACTACTAGATTCTCCTGAAATCCTATTTTTAATGCATGTCTACCCCTTGTAAAATTTCAGTATAGGGTAATAACACTGTTAGATTCCTCTGAAATCCTATTTCTAATGCATGTCTACTCCTTATAAAGTTTCAGTATAGAGTAATAACACTGCTAGATTCCTCTGAAATCCTATTTCTAATGCATGTTTACTACTTGTAAAGTTCTAGTATATGGTCATAACACTACTAGTTTCACATAGAATCCTATTTCTAATGCATGTCTACCACTGTAAAATTCCAGTATAAGCTAATAACATTGCTTGTTTCCTATGAAATCCTATTTCTAATGCATGTCTGTAAAGTTCCAATATAAGGTAATAACACTACTACCTAACAGCAAATTATAATTGACTCAAAAACCAATAATGCATAAACAGAAAAAACACAAACCTATGAAATCGACAATAACAAAAATAAACATATAATATTAAGAAGAATTGGATCTACATTTCAAATTTAAACTCCAAAACTGCAAAAATTATGAAAACTTAACCAGCAACTTAATTAATCGAACATGAAATCACCAAAATCAAACTACAATAAAATCGAATATGAATTCAAATTAAAAAAATCAAATACCTCAAAATCGAAGATCGCATATAAATAGGATTTTATACTGAGCCAAGTCACCAATGCACCATGAGCCATTTCATCCCCTGAATCTGCCAAGTCATTGTCCATTTGCTTTTGTTGCAAATCCTCCAAAATTTTCACAGATCCAGCATCTAATGGATTGCTAGTGCTAGTGCCTCTGACTTCAGCTTCTGTCGTGCCATTTGGACTAACATGCTTCAAGGCAGAGCCTTCGTCAACTCCATCTTTCAAAGCATTATTGCTTGATGTTCCCTGAATTGAGATGGCTGCAAAGTTTTGATCTACAGGCTTGGAAAGGGGTCTCCTAGTTTTCCTATATCCAAAAGACGAATTAATTAGAATGAGAAGAAATAGTTACCTTACACAATCAGAATCCTATGACCTCATTATTCTTATTCTTTTTGAGAGAGAGAGAGAGAGAGAGAGAGAGAGAGAGAGAGAGAGAGTTACTTGAGAACATAGCTTAGGATTTCATCGTCAAAACTAAGGTGGAAGAACAAAAACTGAAAAATTGGGGTTGAAGATGAAGATGAGAGACTGGATGTCGTGAGTTCTGATCTGGTGTTTATTAGGAATTCCAATTTTATGTTAAAAGGGTAATAAAAGTATTTCATCTTAATAATTAAATTAAAAAATGTACAGCTTTTTGGGTTTATTTTGGGTGTGTTTATATACATTAAATAGTATAGGGTATTTTTATAGTTTTATGTCTAGAAATGGGTATTTAACTCATTTTCTATTTCTTAATTAAATGGGGCCCATGTTTCGCTGGTTTTAACTTATATACTTTTTTTTCTATTTTTTTTAAAAATAATTTATTGTTAGGAGACTCAAAATTTAAATTGGGAATAATAATTAGTATTTTTTTTTTAAAATTTCGTTGTTGGCGTCATCACTGACATCACAACCCTCAGGCAACAGTTCGTGTTGTTCTTGCCTTCGGGCCTTCCAAGGCTTGGTGGAGCCCAAGCCTTGCCTGGGCTGTTTTGTACTGCTAGAGTTGTATTTCTGGACCTAGGGGGCCTCTTGCCTGAGCTAGGGCCTCCCGGTGGAAATAATCTAACAACTGAATCAAATTGTAACAAATTTAAAAGACGAGAGGTATGTTATTATAAAAATTGAGAAAGTATGGATTAACATGTCTTAAGGATATAACCACAGGATACTAAGTTGTCATTACCCATTTATTTTATTTTAGGGTTGACAAGGAAAGTTCTAGTAGTTATAGCTTTTTAACTTTAATATCGAATCATGATTTGACTTCTTAAAATTGATAAGGAGTTTCTCCTTATAACCAATGGATTTTTGACATTTGTCAAATTTTAGCAAAATTGACAAAGTTTCAAAAAAAAAATTTACTTAAAATAATTTAACACGTGTCAAAACCACATTAGTTGTAACGAGGAGCTCCTCTTCAATCTGAAGGAGCCAAGTTTTTTTCTTAAATTAAACTAGCCCATTGGCAATTGATTTTCTTTTTTTCTTTTTTTTTTCTTTTTAGAATTAAAAAAGATAATGGATAGTTGTGTTCCATAAAAGTAGAACCTATTATGTGATTTTATTTTAAATTTTAAAAAAAAAATATATGAAAAAGTATGAATTTTCATAACAATAATCCGAGAGAGATACACATAGAGGATGGAATGGAAGAATATTTGAGAGAATTGAAAATCGAATAATAAAAAAAGGACCCAAATGGGTTAATCTAGCTGAAAATGTGACCCAACCAGTAGGGAAGCCCAACTTCACTTACTCAGTTGAAAAATGGGTGAAAGCTACAGCCCAAGTTCATCAATATTCTGGGTTGACCCGAAGCATGGCCCAATGGCGGGTTGCCAGGCTAATCCCAAGTCCAACCATGTTCTTTCTTTCGTTTTTTTGTGGGAAATCTGAGCATGTTTTCTTGACATGAAGTAGACTATACAATGCTTCCATTTTGTTGATTTGCCACTAGGGTTTAGGTTCCAGGTTCCCATGGAAACCTTTGTAAAAATTCCATTGACTTTGACTGTCTGCTAACAGGTGAGCACTGGTCCCATGTTTCACTTTATTTTCCTTTATGCTGATTTTACTTTTTGCATGGGTTGGTCCTTTTCACAAGAGAGTTTGAGAGAGACTGGTCAATTTTCGCTCGTATGATAACTATTTTATTTTCATTTTTTGTGCTAAAGTATAGAGGAAAATGAGAGTGAGAATGGACGTGAGGATGAGATTGACAGAGATGATGAGAGGGGGAGAGAGTGAGAATGGAAGTTGCAAAAATCAAACCAACAAATTTTCCATTATTAATTCTTTATTATTCCATAACAAAAACGCAAAGAAATCAAGCCTCTATGCCATGCATGCCACAAGCTCTACTCGCATTTATAAGAAGAAATCAAAAATCAGATGGAAAAACAAATCTGATTCATATATAGTACTAGCTATACACACATATGACTGATTCTGTAGCCTGTCCTCATCAAGCTTCAACAAGACCCAACTCTTTTCATCAAGTATCCCATGCCGGACAAGCAGATCAATGAAAATGTTCGCTTTCGGAGTGGCCATGGCACCAATCAAAATTGATGAATAACAAAGGCATGCAGCAAACAACAGCATTGCTGTAATAATACTCAGGAGGTGGCCCTTGAAAGGCCGAACACCTGCATCAAAATCAATCAGTTAAAGTAATAATTCATGTCTTGACTCAATTAAGTTGCTAGCAGAAATGTAAATACATATGCATTCAAAAGTGCTGCACAAACGAACTTACATTTTTAATTAAGCTCCAAAAACTGCTGTGTTTGACGATTTAAGTCCCGGGTTGACGATGTTCGAGTGATCTAGGGGCGAAAAAGTTTATGTTTTAGATTTTTTATAAATTGTTACATGAACCAGCAAACAAGGTTTTTAGTTTAGTACTTACGAAGGGGAGATTCAGTTACAAAAAAGCAGGCTCCAATAA